ATCACTATCGCGTAAGTAGATAGATTAAGTAGACATCACTATATATATAGTGATGTCTACTTAATCTATCTACTTATGATATCATCACTTTATAAATTTTGGATTTTGTTGAGTATAGGTAACATAAATTATATATAATCAATATTTTTAGCTCAAATTATGTAATATCAAAATTTTCTTCAGTTTAATATAAAAGTAATCCATTAAACTTTTTGATTAGATATATATATAGAAAGCTCTGCATAAGTTAAGATACTTGTAAACTAAATAAACTAATTTATCTAAGTTTAGCTTAAGCTATTATAAAATAGGTCATGAATTAGACAAGCTAATTTATACGATAACTCAGCTTATTGGCTTGCATTTTTTTCTTTGAAAAAAATAAATCAAAAGGTAATTTTTCTTTAAAAAAAGTTACTTTGATGACATTTTATATAAAAAATAGCTTTAGTAACATTTTCTTTAAAGAAAAATACATTTAGTAATATTTTTTTTAAAGAAAAATATATTGGTAATATTTTCTTTAAAGAAAAATATATATGACAGTATTTTTTTTAAAGAAAATACATACAAAGTTAAATTTCTTTAAAAAAGTTTACTTTAGAGTGATTTCTTAAAGGTAAAATATTTTTATAAAAGATTTTACTTTTAGAGTGATTTTCTTGAAGGATTTTGTTTTTAGAATGATTTTCTTGAAAAATTTCACTTTCTGCAATATCTTCTGATCAGATAATCTAATTTAAACGAAATTTAGCTTATTAGAATCATCACATAAAAAAAAATAAAATAGTTTTCTAAGCTTAAAATCATTAAGTAATTAATGTAAAACTTTAAATTTCGTAAAATTAGTATTATTAATTAGCTAATAAATTTTTATAAGATATTTTTCAAAATGTAAGAATTAAAATGAATCAAAAATTATGTTTTTAGTATTTTTAGTTAATAAATCATAAATTTTTAAAGTTAAAAATGAGTTATTGTATTTCTTTTAACTATCAATTTGTTTATTTAATATTTAATATTGAAAATATATAAATTTAATAGAATAATTAACTAATAATTTATTAAAATCAATTATAAGTTATTATTAATAAAATAAATCAATATATCTAATTTTTTTTTTGATATTATAAAAAAAAGAAAAAAAGTGCAAATTTGACTAACTTGTAAAATAATTTTTGTTGTTTTCATTCTATTTTATAAATCATAATTTGATTTATATAACTTTAATTATAAATATATATTTTTTTTCTTGCTTGTAATATATATATACTCTTATAATCTTCTTTACTAAAGTCAAGAAAAGTAAAGTAAAAGTCAAAAAAAAAATTAAGTAAAAATCAAAAGTCATTATATTAGAAGAGAGCATGAAAAAAAAAAATAAAAATTGAAAGGATTTCTAGGAAAATCAGATTCTAAGAAATTTTTAACTAAAATTAAAAACTTAATGCATTTTTTAAACTAATAATATAAAAAACTAAAAATCTCAATTTTCCTAATAATTAACACAAATACAATCATCTTCCTTTATAGTCACATTTTTTAAGATTAAAAATAAAAGTATAATTATAATAATTGTCATTTATTATTATAATTATAACAAAATAAAATACTTCTATTATTAAAATAAGCAGTAAAATTATTAAAGTATAAAAATCTTGAAGGCTTCTTTTATATCCTCAATTCCTCAAATCCTTCCTTTACTTTCTAAATTAACAACTATTATTTATAATTAATTTGTTAATGAAATTCATTTGTTGTAAGGATAATTCAAGAACTTAATACTTATAGTCTACTTTATCACACATTCATAGAACAGTACAAAATCTAATATCTTAGAAAAATCTCTTGGGAAATTCGCATTATCTACTATATTTAGCCAGAACTTTTCTCCTAAAATTAGCATTATTATTAGTTAGGCGAGTAAAAAGTTTTAATATAACACGAATAAATGATATACCATAATAATCCATAAATTGCAGATAGATTTGAAGTTGAAAACTTTGATTACCAAAGATGACAAAAAATTTTGGTAGTTGTCTTCTGTATTTTGTATTATCCTTTATTATGCTTAAGAAAATTTTTTAGAGATTATTTGAAATTTTGGTGATATTCACAATCTCTTTCTCATCCCTAGCATATAGCTTTGATCCTTTCACATATACTAGTTGAAATTTTTCAGCTGAATTTAAGTAATCTATTCTATTAGCACATTCACGTTTTACATAGTTTTTGAACCTAATTTTCTCAAATTTATAGCTTATTGATGATTATCTCATAAAGTAGCCTGCAAACATAGATGAACAAAAGTGTATTTTGAGCAAAACTAGTTTTCGCTAAATTGATCTGTAAAAATCTTTCTAAATTTAGGATTTCAGAGGTTTCAGATCATAGAATAAATTTTTCTGAACAAAATATTTCAGATGTTGAAAAATAGTTTCACCTGAAACACTGGACAAAAGAGTTCAGATGTAGTTTTTCTAAAATGACTAAGTTAAGTAAAAGATTTTGTGAACCTATCAAAAATGCCATAATACTATTAAACTTAAGTAAACACTTTGTAAATAAAGCATTCTTCTGAGTGAGAGCAGAAAATAATTGTACTTACAATAATGGTAATTTTTACGTAAAATTTGCATAATTGATACATTAATAAATTATTTTGATCTGAACAGTGCAGATTATCAATTTTTTTGTGCTAATCCCACTGGTCAAATTTTGCCAGAAGAAATTCGTAAGAAATTTATGTAAATCAGATAGAATTATATTCTCAATTTTATCATTAAGTTCTTAAGATATGGTGGTTTCAGAATTAAGAGAAAGTTATTTAAACAAGCTTGAACTAGGATGTAAATTGATTAAAAAGTCATTTGAATATAATCTATTATAGAGTTAACAGATTGATTTCATGTTTTCAGAATATTGAATATCAGTTCCAAATAAATATTGTAGGATTTCCCACTTAAATCTTATAGAAATAATACCATCAAATATATTTTCTAAACTGTACATTATAAAAAATTTTGCACACTTACCACAACTTCATTTCTTCTTCATATTTCCTTTTGAGAAATTTACTAGTGCTTAGAGTTTCTAAAGTAGAATTAGTTACCAAAAATAAAATAGTTACTATTTCTTGATCTTCAATGATGAGCTGAACTTCTGTTTCAAACAATAATTTTTTGATAACTACAGACCTAGTGAAAGTAATAGCACTCAGTTTTTAATAATTTGTACACAATTTTATAATAAAAAATCAAAAAAAATTTTATTTTCTGAAAGATCAACCAAAATTACATATATTTTATTAATTAATTAATATTTGGTATAGCCTCTTTCTATACCAATACATGCTTTAATGCAACTTGATATACTATTAATGCAGTTAACTATTATGATATTTTTCAATATCATTTTATTTCTTTCTAATTAAATTTAAAAAAATTTCTTTTGAAATTTTTTTTTCTTTGTATCACTATTCTCTTGACCTTTTTCTCAACACTTTTCTTTAAAATAGCCTAAACATTCTCAATAAGATTAAGGTCAAGATTATAAAAAGACCAAGAAAGAACCTGATCCAGAAGATTAGTTTTCAAGTTATCTTAAATATTACAGTAAGTATGTTTTAAGTCATTATCTTGCTAAAAGACCTATTGGTTACTATATATTGCACTTGCATTATCATATAAATATTTATTCAAAATTTAGCAATATAAATGACAATCCAAATTTTCAGTGAACATGTGTATGCTAATTTTTCTCTTAATGTTGATTGCATCCTAAACATGAACTTTAAATGGGTATTTTACCATCAGAGTAATAGGTTTTTTGTTACGTAACTATGCTAGAAAAGTATTACAGACATTTGAAATGTAGTTTTATCAGAAAATACTACCTTTTTTCAATTATAATTCACATGATTATAGGCCTAAAACAACCAGTTCTTTTTTACTTTCTGTGTTAAAAAAGGAACTTTTCTAGGATGAACAAATAAAAATCTAAAATTTTTTAGCTTATAACAAATGGTTTATTCACTAACTTCAAGCTCTGAATTTTTTTCTTTAAGTTGGACCTTCATTTCACTTGCTGTAGTGAAATAATTATGCTTAACGATCATTTCAATTTAATGGCATTTTTTAGGAGTCAATTTTCGTAGTCGACT